TTATTATTTTTTTGTATAAAATAAAATTGAGTTTATGTGATGCACAAAAAGGAAGGGAGAACACTAGGGTTTTATTTCATGGTGAATTATAGGGACACTAGTCTCTCTAGCATCTCCATCTTGTATTTTTATTTTTGTTTTTGTTTTTGTTTTCATTTTTAATTCTTTATCGTACAATGTTATTTTAATAGTTATAAGATAATATTGACATTAAAATTAAACATGTAAATAATATTTTCAAAACTAAATTCATTCAAAATCTTGAAATAACATTTTGTAGTTGATATTCTTTCCTTTAATTATCTAATTTTTTTGGTGTAACATAAATAATCAAAAATAGATAAAATTGCTGTCCTTGCACAATAGTGAGATGTTCTAGAAATCTGTTTTCTTAAAAAAAATAAAAATGTGGTTTGCTAGCTTATCTAATATGACTTGATTGGAATATGAATTATTGTGCATGTTACTAGAGAAGACTAATGAAGAAGAATTTTTCCCTTGTACAGCTCAGTGTAATTCCTTTCACATGAGGTGAGGGGTTCATGCCCAATTAATGCGCAGGTCTCATATGTGAGGGGGCAGTACACCAATCTGTAAATGAAGAAAGAGAAATGATTTTATCCATCAGAATGATGTTATTTATCAGTCGTGTTGATGACGAGTCTCGACCATGTCATTAGTTCATGTCAAAACGTCCTAATACCACCTCTACTATACTGAACTCATCAAGATTTCGAGAAGTCACATAATATGTGAATTTTATTTGTCCATAATGTATTTTGTTTAGTCTCACTCGGTCCTTGTACATCTTACCTACATAATTTCACTTCTCAAATCATATGATGCTTCTTCCTCGACACCCTTGATCTTGACCCACGAAACATTCAACTCCAACAATTAAAAATTATTGTTTATAACCCCAAGAAAATCCACAAGTCGCATTAATATAACGAATTCAAAACGGTCCAAACAACACATTGTTCAATGCTAAAGTTTTTGCAGAACCAATGCTTAATTCCAATATAGAAATGAAACCTCTTTTTACAGCTCAAAATTCATTAAATATGGCTGCAGTTGCTGCTCATTCCACCCAGTGACGGCTCAAACACTGTCAATTTATACTACTTTAATGTACGGAAACTTAACGATTTGGTGTAATTTCAGTGTCCCAAAATCTACACACAAATCCCAAGTAAATGCATACCTATATAGTAATAATCCAGACACTCTCTTCATATCAAATCAAATCTTTCGTACCATTTAATTAATTTGTATACTTTTTTGCTTTTTAGGCATGCACGCATACCTTATATACAAGGGTCAAACTTTTTGCTACGGTTGACTTTATTACTCAGCACGACTCACAAAAAAAAAAAAAAAAAAAAAAAAGTTGAACCCCTAATTTAAGGGTCCCCACGGCGCCTATTCTGGAGTATCGTGAGGGAGGTAAATCGTAGGTTATGCCTCCAAGGGTATAGGGTGGAAGACTGTTTGTACACTTGCACTTATTCAAGAGCCAAATCCATATTTCAGGATTCGAACCCTTGACGCGGCAACCTCAAGTAAAGTTGGATTTCTTCACCCTCCCCTTTTACCACTTGGAGATGTGCCCTGGGGGCTATTACTCAGCACGACTCGATTCGATTTAGGGTGTGTTTGAGCACATTTATTTTTAAAAAAATGTATTTTGAAATAGTAAATTGATGGAGCATATGTGCTTAAAAAAGAAGATTTTTTTTTATTTGTATATAATATTATTTTAATGAAAAATGTGTAGTTGAAAATAAGTACTGTAACAAAAATAATACGGTAGAATGTGAAGTAATGAATGACAAACAGGGGCTTAATAGCACTTGATGGTGTATATTTTGTTCACTATTAAATGCTATACGTGGGTGAGTAGGTATTATTTTCTTTTGTGGACATGCACACCATCAAAAAAAGAAAAAAGAAAAAAAAAAAACGATTAATAAGAGAGTATAAAAGAGGGTGAAAATTGAACACGACGAGAGGTTTTCTGGTAGTGTATCTCCCTTCCTTCAATTGCAACGGATGATCTTTATTCAATTCAAAGTTTTAGTCTCGAAATATAAAGATATTTTTTACTGTACGTACATCATATGATCTTTATAAATTAAAAAGTTCTTAGAGATGCTCGATATCTAAATTTAGAATTTACTTTTACTGCATCTATGGACTATGAATATATGATACAAAATATAATCTTGATGTAAATTTTAGCAATATTATTTGAAATTTGTTGGCCAAACAAGATAAAGATAAAATATCATTGAAAATTAATTAGCAAATGACTCACCATTCTTGAAGTATAAACTTGGAATAAAATATAGGTTCAAAACACTAACCGTAAATTCTTGAAACAATGCACAATTGCTTTAGGACAAGTAACATAATGGCTCAAAAAGCAACTAACAATGTGCACACAATTGTTGGCAACTTGTCTGTATAACAATATTGTTGACTTAAGTAATGTAGTGCATGTCACGTTTCAAGACTAATTGTTACATATACATAATATGTGAGAATTTCTAGGTTTTGCAGCATAATGTTGACTCGAGGATTTTGTCACTTGTACATTGCATTTTATCATCTTGTTGACAGAAAAATATATTGACAAAAAATTATTGAGTGAAAAGACTTTTTTTTTTTTTTAATCTATCAAATGTGACATTCTGTCAAAAAACACCAAACATGATTTTTTACTCAATATGTGTAACTCTTGACTCTTGAGGCTTCATTATGAAATAATAATTTACTATTAAACACACAAATGAAGAATATCTTGATTATTCACAAGGTGAAGAGTGTATGATTTTTCTTTTTAAATTTTTTTTTTGTCGCGAGTTTAAAGAAAACGACATGCATTTATTTCTCCTTTTTAAACTAAGAAGATAACATTTAGGAATTGGAGGGGACCCTTTTTCCAAATTCTTAAATTGTAATTTTTTTTTTTTTTTTTCAAGGTTATTGGATGCACGTAGCTTCATGAAAATGATCTCATTGACTCGCTTTTAATATTATTTATATTCAATAAAATAACTGTTTAATTTTTTTTTTTGTCGCGAGTTTAAAGAAAACGACATGCATTTATTTCTCCTTTTTAAACTAAGAAGATAACATTTAGGAATTGGAGGGGACCCTTTTTCCAAATTCTTAAATTGTAATTTTTTTTTTCAAGGTTATTGGATGCACGTAGCTTCATGAAAATGATCTCATTGACTCGCTTTTAATATTATTTATATTCCATAAAATAACTTCAATGATTCTGCAGCTATAAAATGCACCATGACCCTTCAAATTTGGAGCATCCTATCCCTTGATTTGCCTTAAACTAAAAAACAAGAATTTATGATAAAATTTATCAATTATTTTGTTGTGAGAATCGAACTAGGATGATCAATTATAAACGGTAACCTTGCTATCATAAACTGTCTCTACAAATCCCCACCGTCATGGGCGGATCCAGGGACGGGCTGGACCGTGCCACAGCCTGTCCCTTCGGCTAAAATGTCCATAAAAAAAAAATTTAAGTAAAATAAACATATTTTTTTTAGGTGCAATATTTTTTTTTATACGTATTAACCCGTGTTGAATTTTTTACTGGATCCGCCACTGCCCACCGTTGATTGCTTCGCCCACAAAATCTACCACCCAAAGCCTTTGATAGTTACATGCATGACTCATGGTGGACAGATTGATCATTAACAATTTTGGCCGGTGATATTTTCGTTTTTTTTTTTTTTAAATTTTGGCATATATATATATATATATATATATATTTCATATGCACGTTATTGGAGGCTTTTGTTTTTTTTTTTTTTTCAATATATGTAGTCATATAGATAGCATCAGAGATTAATAGAAATAATTGGGTTATATATTTAAGAATATTGCATGACGTACCAAATCTTTAGCTGGGAAAAAATTAGGCATACAACAAAGCAAATACATGTTAACTATCGAGCTTCTTCTACTCGTTAATCTGTCCAACAATAATAATCAAAATTATTCATAAGGTGATGTTATAATAAACAAATAATGTAGCCTGCGATAATGTTGTTTACTTTATATAATAGCATAGTTTACCATAAATATTTTATTCACCATATAAAATCAATTGATTTTTAACATAACTCACTTCCTAACAATGATGCAAGACCATGAGTGGACTCATGTACGTCCAGTGTTGGAAGGTTTAGGAAGTTATGATCTAATATTATTAGGACTCCTAGTAGCCAAATAATTAGTAGTTGGGTAAATTTTTAGGCCCCGTTTGTAAGTGATTTTGAAAATTGATTTTGTGACCGTTGGAAGAAAAGTGAGGACCACTTGTTAGAGAAAAAATCAAACTTTACGGTTGAAATAGGTGAAATAACAATAAAAAAATCAATTTTTTGGAATGAAAAATCACTCCCAAACAAGCTCTTAGATGAAAAGAGGTTTGACAGTATATTTGTAGTAGTGAAATAATACCAAATTTTGCAATATTATATCATATAAAAGTTGGCCAACAAAAAGAAAAGGGAAAAAATTAGTGGAGCGATCGAGACCCATCTTAGGCTCTCAGCCCACGTAGTTGGGTAAATTTTTAGGCCCCGTTTGTAAGTGATTTTGAAAATTGATTTTGTGACCGTTGGAAGAAAAGTGAGGGCCACCTGTTAGAGAAAAAATCAAACTTTACGGTTGAAATAGGTGAAATAACAATAAAAAAATCAATTTTTTGGAATGAAAAATCACTCCCAAACAAGCTCTTAGATGAAAAGAGGTTTGACAGTATATTTGTAGTAGTGAAATAATACCAAATTTTGCAATATTATATCATATAAAAGTTGGCCAACAAAAAGAAAAGGGAAAAAATTAGTGGAGCGATCGAGACCCATCTTAGGCTCTCAGCCCAGACACAAGAAGATCCCACAAAAGAGAACGTCGAAAAAGAGGAGACACTGCACAATGAGAAATGGACCAGACAAAAACAAAACTTTGACCCCAACAGTAAAAACTCTATATAATCCCATCCCATGTCCCAATACACGTTGCATTGTAAACTGACCGAATTGCCCACCACTGTGTTCATAACACGTGGCACGCAAATTCTTAAAATCTTTGAAGAGTCAATGGTCTTTGCCTCGTTTGCTTTGCCCTGCAGTTTCTCATCAAAACAAGAAAGAAAGTGCTTATTTAAGATATTTTTTCAAATTATAGTTAAAAAGTGTGGCACAGTAAAAAGAGAGAACGAGAAACCCAAGCCCATCTTTTTCTTGCTTTCTCTCCTTTTCATGTGCTTACAACTCTTCCTCTGCACCAAGCCACCCCATTCTCTTTCAAAGCAACCAAAAAGAAAAGCGAAGTACACCATATATTGTATGTAAATGTGGGGTGGGTCCACTGTTTCACATAAAGATGTTAAGAAATCCCACAAAAAGATTCCATAATTTCATAATCTATACAACGTCTCTTCTTCCTATAAGCTGTACAATTTTCATAATTATCAAATCCCCTCCCTCTCCCATATTTGAATCTTCTCTTGGGGAAAACACGTTCTTTACCTATGCCTATCTTTCCAATCTTCACCTCCCTCGGATAAACCAAAAATTACTAATAAAATGAAAAAAAAAAAAACCATAAACCAATATTTCCCTCTTCCCATATTGGATTGACAAATAACTTGCTCCCAAAAAATGGCTGATCCACAAAATTCAGCCATGAGAATATTGCAGTTCCCATCACTGCCTGTCGATCCCAACAACACCGTCCACCTGCGATGATTATTTCGAGCAAAAAGTGTGGTTCCTGAAGTCACTTTATGATGCTCGATCCAATACCACTAAATATAGCTATACCAGAAATTGCTGTTTTGATATCTCATTGGTGTCACCTATCCTCAACAAAGATTCCCCCTACGAAATCCTGGAATCTCTTGGAATATAGTTTTGGGTCGACAGCTGAAATTGAGGTAGAGTCTACCTGCAAGGACTTGTATGCATGTTCTAGCTTCTTACTGATATCATAGTCTTGTAAAATATCAATGATCCCAAAGTAGAGGATCACTTCATAGACTTCACCACACCTCGGAGGTGCCAAATTGCTAAATCCACCAGGGGTGTACCGATCGAAATCACTCCTTCGAACCACTCGCTCTGCTCGGGCAGGCAAATTGGCCCCTAGCCTGATCAATGGTTTCCTGATAAAAAACAAATTCAAATGCAAACTCAGGACTTATCCACTCAATACTAAAGAACGTAATATTAACAAAAGATTTTAGGGAATTACTGACGAAAAATCAATTCAACAACCAATTCATGTCGATAACATTGAAGCATATAAGAAACCCCTACCGGCCAGCTAGGATCCGATCCATGTCTTGTAGTTCTGCTTCAAGGAAACGACAACCTCGCATGAACTTCTCATTTTGAAATGAATCAGTTTTTCCTGAGAAGCAATGAGATACATTTTAGCTTTCTTAATTTTTCCCACCAAATAATCTGCCGAACTAGGAATTGTAATGACACAACATGGTACCTGCCCTCAACATAAATGGTGACAAACCCATTTTGTCCCCGCTGTTCTCATCACGGAAATGAAGACCAACTAGAAGACTGTAATCCATGATTCTCTCTGCCTCCAAGAATTCACAGTCTCGATGAATTTGTCTGCCAAGATAATTTAACAAACTCAGCAAGAATTCCAATGAATAAAACAAACGTTAGTCATTATAGGGCAACACCGTACTCACTTGATTAGTTCTTGATACCAATTGCTTTGTAAACGAAACACAAAATTAAGGTCAAGGTCCTTAAGAGTAGTGGTTTCATCAATTTCTCCCTCGGGCTTATCCGTCGTGCGGCCATGGGATGATCCTTTCAAATCAAATCTTCTATGGATCCGATAATCCGAGCAAAACATATTTCCCATCACAATAAACCGTGTCTAGAATACAATAACGTAACAAGAATTAGTTACATGCTGGAATTTTTTGACTTAAATGGAGAAAGATCAACATCAACTGCATACCTTGATGCCGCCAACTGGTTTCACACAATGAACGCCATAGAAGTTTGTCACAAGAGAATTTTCATATCGAGAGACGTGTTGGTAATATCTAGGAAGCATCTTAATAAGCACCTGAAAAAAAATACGAAACATCAATTTGCAGAAGTAATTGACCACGTTTTGATTGAACAATGGCCTACAGATTGAATAAGAAAGTTCAACTGTGTGCTAAACAAATATTTTGATTGCTGTCAATTATGTAGTCATAATTCTACATCAATTCTTTTTAAGCTTCAACAAGTCAAATAAGTAGGCAACTAACCTTGACTTCCGATTTCTTCACCGTTTTGATCATAAACCTATCATCCTGTGTTAAATAAAAGAAACTTCCACTTTTCCCAGGAGAAGAAAGCTCCCTCAGAGCATCATTCCCACAAATGGCTAACATATAATCCGCAGGATCGACTTGAAAAAGTTCCCTTAAATGTCTGGTAACACAATAAACCAATCATCATATTAAAAATCCAATCGGCAGGCACAGAACATTAAATTTTAAAAAACATAGCAAAATCTCGTTCCAAGATTCTTACTACAGCCTAATTAATGAGGAACAGTTACCTAAACACTACTGGACAATAATCCTTCCACCGGAAGTCTGCAGATTGATGAGGAGGCGTAAGCTTTGATCCTTCTGGAGGAAATCTAGTCCAAAACTTCTCCTTAGGATCAAAATCACTCTGCTTAAGATCTCGTACCATGGAAGCATGCTTTCCAGCAGAATACCTAACAAAAGATAATCACCAATACAACAATATCTCATTCCATCAACACTCAATGGTTAAAATTTTGCAACGAATGAAAAGCTAAATAAAACCTATCTGAATTAATATTGGATTCGGTTTTACCTAATCCCCAGTTGGAGATTGAGCATCAGATCATAATTCTTGTGCCCTTTGGATATAGTCTCTCCTGGCTTCTTCACCTCTCCACCAAAACAACAGGGGTTCCTCCGAAACTTCATAATCCCATCCCGGTCCAACCCCAATCCATCCCTATACAGCATTGATGCCTCCATATTGTCAATAATATCACAAGTGATATCCCCAGCCTCACCATCCGACTCCCAAATGCATATTCTTGGAAAAGACCTCTCGGTCATCCCACCGTCCACGGACGATCTTTTCTTCCCCGCACCACTACCTATCGCTATATTTACACTCTCTTCCCCCACCGTCATCAGTGGCGCTGATAACTTCCTACTAAAGTTTCCCTTTAGAGCCCCTTCATTCCCATCGCCATTGGATTTGTTGCTATTGTGGGCAGGGTAAAAAGTACCATTCAAGATTTGATTACTGTTTTTGCAAGAATCCTTGGACCAGCAGCCAATGTAGCAGCTACCATCAGGCCAAGTGAATACACCGTGACCCTTGGGAACCCCATTCTCCCAATTCCCATCATATCTATTCCCATTGTTCCAAACCAAAACACCCCTTCCATTAATCATCCCATTTTTCCACTCCCCTTTATACTCATTCCCATTCTTCCAGACATATCTTCCTTGTCCATCCTGAAAATTCTTTTTCCAGTGTCCTTCATAGTAATCCCCATTACTGTAATGTTTCACTCCATAACCGTGCTTCCGGTCCCAAGACCACGACCCCCTGTACATATCTCCATCAGATCCAATGAAAGTGCCCGAACCCTCCATCCGACCTGACTTGAAATCGCCTTCAAAAGTCGCACCCGATGGCCACGAAAATTTCCCTTTACCAGAGGCTTTCCCCCTTCTCCAGTCACCTTCATACATACACCCATCTTTCCACAAATACTTCCCGGATCCATGAGGCGTATTATTTGCAAAAGTCCCAATATACAGATCCCCATTGGAAAGGTGCTTCTCTATCATATCAGCTGCATTTCCTGAGGGCAAAACAGACGCAGGGGTGACTCTACGGCATATGGCTTGAGATTTACTTCTGGGTATAATTATAACTGATTTTGGTGTAGTGGTTGTAATAGTATTGGGTGCCATCTCTAACTTCTCTTCATTTTCTTCCTGCTCTAATTTCCCCTTGTCATTTTCTTCAAGCGATGCTGGTCTAATGAACAACAAAGGTTCAGGAATATTTTCTTTTACAAAAAACATAGGATATCTATATTTATCTGGGTATAAATTTTTTCTTTCTTTCTGGGATTGTTAACTACAGTCTGAAATGTTGATAAACAGCCAAGAAATCCAGGTTCCGTATCATTTCCCGGCCAAGTTTTTGGTGGGTTCTAGGTGGGAATCCTAACAAACAGAAGAGTAGAGGGCAGGATTCTAGAGAGAGAAACTTGAAACTGAACAAGGAAGAGAGAAAGGATATGAGATATAATAAATGGTGAATAAAAACGAACGAATTAGTGCGTGATTATGTGAGAGAGAAAGTAGCGAAATTGGGACTGGGGTGCAATCAGCCGGCTCTGCATTTTGCGTTGTTTAAGCTTTACCATAGCCAGAGGCTATGTCCCCTATACATACGTTATATACCTACAATAAACACTGTAGGTAACTGTATGTATACAGTACTATACACTGACTGTCATCCTTTTGTAATTTTTAAGACGAATATGCCCTTGGGATTTGTTAAAATTAACGTACCAAATAGTAACCCACGGATTAGTTCTCTGGTTTCATCGTGACGTAGTGGAATTGCCTAGGAAGTTGAAGAAAGTCATAGATAATTGCACAATTGGTCCTCAATTTATTATTAGGGTAATAAATTAATCCATGGACTTTAAAGAGAAGCATGTTAGTTCCCAATCTTTCATGATAATTGCACAACTATCCCCCTGAATACGAAAACTATCAATAAATTTTGTTAAATTGTCTCGTACCCAACTAAAAACATAGACTCGCTTCAAAATTTTGAACACTGAACTAAGTTGTGACGCACAAATTTGAACTATGCAGCATAGAATTAAACGGTTTGCAATTTGAGATTGATTGTGCAACTATCATATACATCAAATTATTGCATGACTCTCATGATGTAGCTTTGTAAAAATATATATATGAGGAACATAGATTTGGACAACAGTTATCGAAGCAGTTATTGGGTAATCTCATCACGTTCCACGATTCAAGGAGTTCAGTTGAAGACGGTTGAACGACAAAGAGTAGTGACAGCATTTAGAGATGACAGTTCCACGATAAGTTGGCCACTATGAAGAAAGTGGGCAGTTATAAAGCAATTAAGTAGTTTCTAAGTGGTTGATCACAAAAAGAGCATCAAGGGAATATAAAAGAAAGAAAGGACATAGAGCAAAAGACCCCGAATCAAACACTCTCAAATAGAGAATATGTAATTTTAATTCCTTAGTTTAGACTTAAAATATTTCTTTTCAGTACTCGTATACTTGCGCCCCTTGGAGGCATTCTGTTTAAAGTTCCAATTGTAAAGTCATCACCAATAAAACAGCCCTTTTTGAGACTTTGTCTCAAGAGGTTTGTTCCTTACACAATCGTCTGATCCATTTTTAATTGTTAGCGACTACCCGCGCGAAACAATTTGGCACGCCCAGTGGAACGTTGGTGTTTGGTGTTAAAGATACAAAAGGTGAAATAATATGCCTCAAAAATCCGATAAAGAAGCAGCAAGTCAGGAAGGAGTCCAGTCTGTGATCGAGCGATATGAGGAGCAGCATGTCTCTCCACACAAATGGACAAAATCAAAGCAATCACAGTCGTTACGAACCAATGACAGAGTTGAGTCCTCAAACCATGCGTGCATTACTCGGAGAACTCACACAAGATGTTGTTGAACAGGTAAATCTACGAAGTATTCATAATATGGAAAGATTTACCCAGAATGAGAATGCATATTATGACAACATGGCCAAACAAGTGAATACTTTGAATGAAATAATGAATAAGTTAGTAGGCCAAATTTGTCAGCCAGTTGTGCCTCTTGCAAACCACTTTCAAGGTCATGGTAACTTTGTTACCAATCAAGGACCAAACATCAGGCCTCAAGCAAATCAACCGGTCAACCAACCTGTAGGAATTCCATATGACCCCAACGTCATG